ACTAACTTCCCGGATGGCATGGAACGTATGTGAAAGGAGCCCTTGTTAAATTCTAGGAACATCACAGTCTCACTTTGTGGCTGTAGGCAAGGTGATTGAAGTGTTCAAAGCTTCTGGTTTCTTGGTTAAAATGGAAAATTGTTCCTCAGAATTGGCAACAAAACTTAAATAATGACTGTATGGGAAGTATTATTTAATTCTAAACAAAAGGAGAAATGCTATTTTTTTTTTTTTAACAGTATGGGTATCACACTTGGGAACTTGCACTTGCCAGGCAGGTGCTTAAGCCACTGAGCTATCTCCCTGCCTAAAATACTACTTTATAACTCACATCTGTATATACCTTCTACCTTTGCAAAAGTATTTGACATGTGTCCAATGTTGTAAATAGAAAAAGATGCATAAAATAGTAGGTCATTCATGATGTCATCTGTTCACTTACAAATGACTTGTTGGTCACTACTGAATGTGTGTCCTGTGAGGCACAAGGGTGGATACGCTCTGTGGAATGTCCTTAGAGAACCAGTCATCTTAGGGGGGAAGGCTGGATATATACACAAACACCTCAGCCATGTGCTCTACTTAAGTTTGTATATAAAGCAACTGTTTTCACAACCATGCAAAACAGACTAATCCTGATGAAGGCTTAGCAGAAGGGAGCTGATGCAAACCAGTCCCAACAGGCACTGAGCACGGATTATGCATACTGTGCTAGATATTTGTGTACTTAGAAGGCTCCCCAATAGAGACTGTCTGCCTCAAGGTTGGGAGGCAGGAATCCATACCTAAGGTGCGGCAGCAACAGTAACTGACTTGGTCAGGAGAAAGCGATGTACTAATAAAGGAAGCTAAGATTGAAACGGTTTTGGAGCAATCTGAATACAACATCATGCACTTAATATAAAGCCAATCAATATGGGAACAATTTGGTCTTTAACCCATAGCAATCCATAAGAAGAGTAAAAATCTTTTTAAAAATAAAACAATTTTTCCCCCTCCCAGACTCAGTAATAGGCCATTATATGTAGAACTGGAGTAGCTCTGAATCTGGAAAAGGAAATATAAGAATTCTTTTTCTTTTCTTTTCCCTTTCTTTTCTCCTTTCCTTTTTCCTTTCCTTTCCTTTCCTTTCCTTTCCTTTCCTTTCCTTTCCTTTCCTTTCCTTTCCCTTCCTTTCCTTTTTCTTTGGTACTGGGGATCAAACTCAGGACCTGGCACTTGCCAAGCAGGTACTTAAATTGCTGAGCTATTTCCCCAGCCCAAGAATTCTTTATTTTTGAGAAGAGAATTTCAACTTTGTTATCAGTTCATTTGAAGCCTAGAACTTCTAGAAGTTTCTTCAGGCAGTAAGATTGTGGTTGTCGTGCCACAGGGAGACTTAGTGGGCTCAAAGGAGACCAGTTTAAACAATTTTAAATAGAGCGGTTAAAGAATAGGTTGTGTCCTTAATAGTCCAAGTCACCAGAACTCAAAATTTAACATTTGTATCTGTCATATCCTAGATAGGAAAAAAAAAATGTCGAAGTAATAATTTTTCAGAGCGTTTGCTTGGGGGAGTGGCTAAAAGGTAGCGGAGGCCAGAAAAGGTAAAAAGGAAACAAACACAGGAAAGAGCAGGGCAGGAAGCCAGGAAGCCAGGGTCAGAGAGGGCAGGCTGGGGTTGAGGGCCTGGGTGAGCTTGGAGAAGGAATGTGTGACTCTGGAACCCAGGCTCCTAGTTGAGGAGGCTCCCTGAACCCTGAGGACATGTCAGAATTTGGAGGTCAGTCCAGTGGAGCAGGCCACCTCCTGAGCCCTAGGGTTGCTTCTAGAAGAAGACAAAATGAGGCAGCTGGAACCAACTGCTGTTGCAAACAACCAGAGCGGCTGGACTCCAGTGAACTTCGCCAGCACACACCGGAAGCGGAAGACACGCACCGGAAGTGGAAGACACACACCGGAAGTGGAAGACACACACCAGAAGCAGAAGACGTACACCGGAAGTGGAAGAAGTGGCAGGAATTCCGGTGGCTGGACAAACTGTGGCCTGTCTCCCAGTTAAGTGATGTAGTAGCTCTATCAAGACCCTAGGCCCAGTACAGAAGGCGGGTTTGATTTCAAGAAAGCACTGATATCCAAGTCTGCGTGTGTGCAAGTCACAAAACAACTACCCCACCAGGAGCACTCAGTGCTAAAATGAGACTCAGTTTTACAGTGGGGTCCAGAAGTCTTCATTTTTGAAAAGGACCCTTGAATAATCTTGGTGGAGGTGATCTTGAAAACATCCTTTCACATACGCCGTCCTGGGGCCTTTAAGTAAATCCCTGAATCAAGTTAGAACAGTGTTTGTGACGTTCTCAACATTACCAGTCTAGTTCTTTGAAACAGACACATAATTTTGCTTTAAGTTTTTCCACTTGAAAATGCTTAATAGGAAAGTGCCTCGGCAGCATTTCAAGACAGTAATCAAACACTGACCCTCTTGATATTCAATATTTGTTGTTTTGGAAATTTCATACATAACTACTCCTGCAATTTAATATCAGAAAGGATAATCTCTCTTTTCAGATACACTTGTGTATTCAGAGCAAGGAAACAAAGGAGACAAAACCTTGATTTCTCTTGTGCTTTAGCTGCCTGAAGCTCACAGTCGTTTAGCGCAAGCGCACCTGAGGCTTCTGGGCGGTCATTTGTTCTTATCTGTGTAGCCTTCTCGTGATGTGCCATCTCCTCTTTCTTGAAATAGATTAGACATAAATAAATACACATAATTTTTTTCCTTTCATAAAATATTTATTCTAGAAAACAAGACAAAAAAAATCACACTGTACAGATTTAGAACATTCTTGATGCTCAGATTTATAAAAATGTGAACATAACAAACACTGAAGGAGGAAACTTTCACTGATGTTTTCTTTTTTAAGTTAGGAAGGAAAAAATGATTTTTTAAAAAAGGTACAATGAGAGAAAATGTCTAGAACATATAATATCTAAAATTGTACTTTTTATAATTCTAAAAGCATCTTTAGACATAGTATTGTCATTAATTAACTTCAAATGTAGAAAGGGTCAAAGTTGATGACCTTTAGAAGTAATGCAGGTACTGTGGCAGTTTTGGGAAGGTACTTGTGGTACATATGAAATCATTTTTCATATAAGTGCATTATCATTAACGTGACCCCAGGCCTCTGTCCATAATTCACATTGAAAATCTGTTGACAAAATGTGTCTTGCGCATATATATTTGTGAATCTTTTTAATAATCAGACCTTTGAAACTTGGGAATGACAGCAAAACATTATTTTGCTAGGAATAAGTGAACAGTTAAAAATTCAGACGCAGACTGATGTAGCCATAGAAGTTGTCCTCGTCTTGTTTTGAGTAAGCTTGACACAGAGCTATGTTTTGTTTTATTCCTGCAATCACTTAATGGAATTTAATTTATTAACACCATATTGTGCACGATACCTGAGAAAAGCTATAAACAATGACACACCTGGATCCTGACCTTGTAGTTGTTTTCTGAGGATTCTTTTTTTTTTTTTTTTTTAGGTATTTGGTACAGGTCTCACTACACAGCTTGGAGTTGTAGTGATTCTCCTGTTTTCAGCACTGGGATTACAGGTGTGCGCCACCACACCTGGTCTCAGTGGCTGGCTCATCACACCTGGGGTCAGGGCTGGCATAGCATGTGTTGCCAGGGATAGAACCCCAATCCCTGCGCTTGCCTGAGCAGGCATTTATCCTAGCACTCTTTATTTATTTTATTGTATTTTTTTTGGCGGAACCGGAGATTGAACTCAGATCCTTGCGTTTGCCAGTCAAGCGCTTATCCTACTGAGCCATCTCCCCAGCCCCCGAGCAGGCATTCATTCTGCTGAGCTATCTCACCGGCCCTCTGAGGATTCTTAAAAGTGATTCTGCCTAATAAAAGACATCATTTCACTGCCTCTATGTCTGCACTGCCTTACAGGGGCATTGAAATGAGTCCTGCACTCACAGACCATTTACTCTGGCAAATGGTACAGTATTATGGTATCGACCCCACTACCGTCCAACAAGTGGAGAGTGGATCTGTGAGTACATTCTTCTTTCCTGGTCATGTCGTTATTATGTTCTTTTAGCTCACACCAAGAAAATAAGTTGGGGGAATATTCAACTTACATAACATCTTTCCATCTCAAAGGGAAAATGCTTTCCACTGCTCTTTTTCCTTGCCTAAAGTTTGTCATGGAACCAGTTGTGGTGAGAGTGACAAAATCCTGTCATTTGACAACAGACCAGCAGGTAAGGCTCCTCTAATGACAGGGACTATTTGTTGTCGACTCCCTGTGTCTCTTCCTAGAACAGTGGGAGAGGCCCAGAAGCGACATCACATCTGTTATTTTGCAATTTACTCTAGGTCTGGAGACACTAAAAAATTGATACAAACTACATACTTACTTATTTCAAAGCGATGTTTCTTTAGGAAACAGTTTTGGTGGCTAGCGATGATTTATGAAACTCAGTTATGGCATTGAATTATGTATTATTGCCCTCTTGATGGGTGTTACTTGATTTTGATGCAGGTAATTATCTGCTTTGTTGCATTTGTCCACAAAAAGACACTGCTTCTTTCTTGCTGACACAGGAGTTCCTGTGAGGTTCAACTGGGGTAGAAAATAAAATAAGATTTTATTTATGTATTTATTTATTTCTTTATGTCATTTTGAGACAGGTTCTCACTCTGAAGTTCAGGCTGGCCTTCAGCTCACTTTGTAGCCCAGGCTGGCTTTGAACTCGCAAAGATTCTCCTGCCTCAGCCTCCAAGTGCTGCGATTACAGGTGTGCTTCGCCATGCCCAGCCAATGTTGTTTCTTTGAGACAGGTCTTGTTATGAAGTTCAAGTTGGGCTTAAGCTCACTTTGTAGCCCAGCCTGGTCTTGAACTCATGATCCTTTTGCCTCTGCCTCTCAAGGGCTGGGATTACAGGTGTGTGCCACCACATGTGGCCTTAGGACTTGTTTTTTTTTTCTCCTTCACATGGTGCCGCCCCCTTCAGTGCTCTCAGCCCACAGCAGAGGCTGGGCAATGGTTCGAGGCGCACTTTGCTCTTGCATGGCACACTGTGGAAGGCCTACTTGGACGGGCCCGTCATAAATCCATCACCATGCTCTGGACTTGGTTTTTATTTTTATTTTTATTTATTTTTTTAATGTAAATACCATTTTTAAAATTTTTATTTATTTATTTTTTTGCAGAACCAGGAATTGAACTCAGACCCTTGCGCTTGCCAGGCAAGCACTTATTGTACTGAGCGCCATCTCCCCGGCCCCTGGACTTGGTTTTTAAAACATGCTGTTGACTCACTTTATATTAGAATATGATATACCTGATATTTTCTGTGCTATAGTAAAAATTATTTGCTGCCTTTTCTTGTTCAGTTTTAATTTGCTGGTGCATATAATGTATTTCCTATGACACAAAAGCTAGTCAAAGAGTTTCAACTGCTTATTTACAAGGCAAAAGTTCAAAAGGCAGAGTAACCTTGTCACAAGTCATATTGACAGGGAAATGGCACACAGAGACATGGGTTTACTGTTATGAAGCATTCTATGAAAATATTATAGATATCTGTTTTCACTTGTTCTGTTTTACAGTTTTTCCAAGTTCTTAGCAATATTATTTGATAACTCTCCTGAAGGCTGAGGTAAACATGTCTCAATATTTGTAAACCAGAATCACATAAACATCAAAGGGGAAAATACTCCCACTTGTAAAATCAAGCAAGAGTGAAGCTCAAAAGAGAATAAATACATGCAGGAGAGAAAGCACCAATATATCATCAGAGCATAGTGATGTAAGAGAACCAGTGGTTGATATTTTTCCACAGCTATCAAGTGACTTTCTGACTTATCTGAAGTTTTTTTTTTATTTAATGCATTAAGTACAGGGTCTACAGGGTCTCACTACATAGATTGGATTTGTAGTGATCCTTCCTGTTCAGCCTCCCAAGTGCTGGGATTATAGGTGTGTGCCATCATCTGAACTTTCTCTTCTGGACTTCGTGAACAGGAAAGAGAAATAAGCTACTGACAGAAGCAATTGTTCTAGAGTGCTTGATTCTCTGTCAAATGTAATCCTAACTGACAATACTACCAGAGGTCTTGAGAATCACATGCAACCACGTGCCAACATCGTCATAATAAGTGTGCGTGAAATGACGCCAATGTTATTACACAAGGAAATATTATGGGATGAATATTCAGCAGAATAAATCTGGAAAATCCCACCTTTCAGACCATTGGTGTTGAAGAATTCTGAAGACAAGTGTTAAGGAAAGGACTCTCTCCTGGGAAGCAACTTTTGATATTATTGGAGTAAATTACCTGCAGTCAAGAAAAGAGGTCAAACAGACCTGGAATAGCTCCCAATCCCCATGGTAACCAGATATTTTCTTACACTAAGTGTTGCTTAATGTTCTCAGTCTGAAGGACTCTAAATTTTCATGAGAAATTTAAAATGGAAAATAAAAGAATTCACATGTAATATCCTAATCCTGTAAAGCAAAACCCTTTGAATGCCAGAGGATTGCGTATTGGGAACTCCACATAACAAATAGCACTATGGTCAAAATAAACAATTTTGGAAGGGAAATAAACTCCAAAACCTCAAAACAAGAAACTATTGCTAGGGCTGGTGAGATGGCTCAGTGGTCTAAAGTACCTACTTAGAACAAACTAAGCCAAGCAAAGCACAGGGACCACGGTTCAATCCCCCAGCACCACATGCCAGCCAGCCCCGCCCTCTGGCCCCGCCCTCAAGCCCCGCCCTCGTCATCTGGCCCCGCCCCTCAAGCCACTCTCTGCTCCTCCAGCCAAGTCTGCCCCATGATTTACATGAGGCTTTGGGGGGATGACTAGACACAAACCATAACATACACCTCCCAGAAGAGGCACCTAGCATTCTCACATATTGTCCAGACTTACTCCCATGGCCACGTCTACTAGCAAATCGTCTTCCTTCTACATTCATCTACTTGTCCCGCTAAAATCTAAGATTCTTTTGCCCTCGGTGGGGGGGCGGGCAGTGGATACTGAGAAGAGCTAGAAGCCTACCCAGTCTGAGTACTGTTGTGATTTCTAGCTTACAAGTGGAGACACTGAGGCAGAAGTGTACAACGCTAGCTTTCTTGGGCTGGGACACAACTGTCAGCAGGTGCTGCATATAGGAGGTGACACATAGTCTGCTCCGAGTCGTGTAGGCTGGCTCAGGGAAGAGTTCTATGTCCTAGCATGATGGCATGTAGGAGCAGAGGCGCTCCATTCACAGGAAGGCAGCAGAGCAGGCCACAGGGCTAGAGCAGAAGGTGCCAGGGGCCTGACCTCGACCCCAAGACCATGCCTCCCCCATCCACCTAGACAGTCCCAGCAGTGTGCACCCCAGCACCCAGGAGACCCCGAAGCTGAGCAAGCTGAAACTCTACCCTAACTGCCGCGAGAGGTTACACTGCCGTACTAAGGTGCCTGCGCCAGGATTCCCACCTATGTTGGAAAACTTTGGTGCCCTGAAGCTCTACGTTGGTGTGTTTCTACCTTAAAACAGTTTTATTTGTTCTTTGACATTATTCTGTCTTAACTTCTAAACTGGTAGAAAGGAAAACCTTTTCTGGATAAGTTGCTAGGTCAGTCTGTTCAAACAATGAAATCCTTTATTTTACCGGGTGTTCTTGGCAGATGACATGGTACTGGTATCAACTTGTGCAACGCACCCTTTACTTCTGCTGACCTTTTGGGTAGGTAGATTCACGGAATTTAGTGACAGGCTTAGAAAGCTGGCTGGCAGGCAGGCAGGCCGATTATTTTCAGTCTTCTGCTTGTTCAGATTTGCAACAGCTTTAAACTTCATCGAAATCTGCTTTGCTGTCCCACCTATGGTTCACATCTTCAATAACATAAGAAAAGAACAAAGTTTTCAATGAAATAAACATGAACACATAGACAGGAATGGCCCACTATAGGAAAAATCACAGTAATACTATGATTTATTTCTTTTAAATTCATCATAGAAATTTAATTATCAACATTGACGATGACTAATTTAAACCTTAAATAATATAATGTCTTGGAGCTTGTTA